ATTGTTGTGATTTTTGCTAGTCATTCAGCATCTTTGTTTTTTTTAACAAGTTCCTTTTTGTATCGGCATGTACAATACGATCTGCAGTCTGTTTGGCTCGGGACGGCAAACACCCCGTGTTCATTCTTAGCGTCACAGGCAAGGTCTTGCAGCTCCAACCAGACCAGCTTTACCCTCTAAATGGAGCAAGCTGGAAATATCCCAGTGTTTACTTTCATGCACATTCTCACAGGGCTGCAGCCATTCTCAAGCATGTTCAGATATTTATCTTCTTCATTTTTTTTGAGAGTCTGGGGTATGGGGTCATTCTCAGTTGTAGCACTTTCACCATGAGCTCACGAGAATGGCATTTTCCCATGTAAAAGTTCACAGGGCTTAAAAGTTCAGAAAAATATAACCAATAAAATTGTTTGATATTTAAGCGTCAATACTGTCTATCCATTCAGACATTCCTAATGATATTTACATATTTTTCAAATTTGTATATACTCTCTCTCTCACTCACTCACACACACACACACACACACACACACACACAGACCTGTACTCATATCTTTGTGGGGACTCTCTATTCATTTCTACAGGGAAAACTCTAATCCTAACATGATGACCTTAACCCCTACCCAGCCCTAACCGTAACCATAAGTAACCAAACAAAATACAAGACTTTTGGCATTGTTAGTTTCTTTAGTAGCAGTCACAGATTTTTATGAGATTGAGTATCCCCTTGTGAAGACCAAAAAGGTGGTCCCCACAATGTTGTCACATTGTTTAAACATTTGGTTCCTAGAATTTAAAATATATATGACCCACATACACACACAACTATCATTATGTACCTGTATTTGAAAGTGTCATATATTGGTTGCTTCCACATTTCTAAGACAGCAGTACATAAGAATAAGATGAAATAGGAGATGCTGGGAATGACCAGAAACCAGTCAGGTGGAGGGCAGAAACAACTTTCTAATACCAGAGATGACCGTTAACTTATCCAACAGTTTCACATGAATCGGAGGATAATATCAAGTGACCTTCAGAAGGAATGGGACACATTAAGTGCAAGTGTGACATGCACTGCTAGGACAGTTTGTATCAGACTCCTAGAAGCAGGACTGGAGTCCCATAAAGCAAGGAAGAAGCCCTTCATCAATGAGAAACAGGGAAGAACTAGTCTGCAGTTTGCAAAAAAAATATATACATTATTCACAGACACACACCCATAAATTGAAAAATGACTGAAACAAAACATTGTGCTGTGGTAATTTTTTTCTGTGGCTGTATATACACATAACAGATCAATTATATAAAAAAATCATAATACACAATTATACATAAGTCATGTGTTATTCATGATATTGATCATATTGTTTCCTATGGAAGAGTTGCATAAGGGTATTTGGATACTGCCAAATATTCATTTTACTCAACTTGTCCACCCACTGTAGCTCACGCTACCCACCTCAGCCTTAGTCAGCCGACTGGCTGCCAGGAGACGCCGTATTCATGTGGAAACATGTAGGATGTGTGCTGCCGTGTGATACAGACTGCATGCAACCGTGCAGACGGATAATCCTTACGCTTCCCTCACTGAAGCACCTCACAGAACAAAGCACTGACTAGTGCGGAAGAGATATCAACCATGTTTCCAAATCTCCATTTAGGCTGGAAAGCTGAAAAAAAAATAACATTTTCTTCATTAGCTGAAGTACAGAAGTACCAAGACCTACCACTCATGACTGAAACGGCACACAATATCTGCACACCCATTATATATAAACCGATATATTGACATACGGTAAAGTTAAATTGATAAATTACGCACAGTAAAACAGTACCAATTAAAAATATTGTACATTGACTTGGGACTCTGGCATTTTAGCCTAATTCAAATGAGATGATAGAACAATGAAAAAACTTAATGTGTCCAGGGATGATGGAGCAATGAAAATCATACCTTTTTCTTCATCAATGGATAAAGGAACAAAACACATTGTTACACATTTTACAATAAAAAAACATTGTATCCATGTACAGGTATACAGTTGTGCTCATAAGTTTACATACCCTGGCAGAATTTATGATTTCTTAACCATTTTTCAGAGAATATGAATGATAACACAAAAACTTTTCTTTCACTCATGGTTAGTGGTTGGCTGAAGCCATTTATTGTCAAACAACTGTGTTTACTCTTTTTAAATCATAATGACAACAGAAACTACCCAAATGACCCTGATCAAAAGTTTACATACCCTGGTGATTTGGCCTGATAACATGCACACAACGTGACCCAAACAGGTTTGAATGGCTATTAAAGGTAACCATCTTCACCTGTGATCTGTTTGCTTGTAATTAGTGGGTGTGTATAAAAGGTCAATGAGTTTCTGGACTCCTGACAGACCCTTGCATCTTTCATTCAGTGCTGCACTGATGTTTTTTTTGGATTCTAAGTCATGGAGAAAGCAAAAGAATTGTCAAAGGATCTGTGGGAAATGGTAGTTTAACTCTAAAATAGGAAAGGGATATAAGAAAATATCAAAGGAATTGAGAATGCCAATCAGCAGTGTTCAAACTCTAATTAAGAAGTGGAAAAGTAGGGGTTCTGTTGAAACCAAACCACGATCAGGTACTGTAGACCAACTAAAATTTCAGCCACAACTGCCAGGAAAATTGTTTGGGATGTATAGAAAAACCCACAAATAACTTCAGGTGAAATACAGGACTCTGAAAAAAATGTGTTGTGGCTGTTTCAAGATGCATAATAAGGAGGCACTTGAAGAAAGATGGGCTGCATGGTCAAGTTGCCAGAAGAAAGCCATTACTACACAAATGCCACAAAGTATCCCACTTACAATATACCAAACAGCACAGAGACAAGCCTCAAACCTCCTGGCACAAAGTCATTTGGAGTGATGAGACTAAAATTGAACTTTTTGGCCACAACCATAAAGGTGGAATATCAATTAACGTACAGGTTGTTAAAATAAAATGAAATGTATCAGTATGGATAAAGCTACAGAGGAAAATAAATAAAATCTACAGATTTAATTTCAAATGATAACTATGTTCAGATGGAATAAATTAAATTTTCTGAACGTACAAACATATGTACAGCAGAGAGACAGGTAACGTGAGAAAGTTCTGCAAGTCGAAACTGAAATGGTGTCCACAGAAACACCATAATGGCTAGCAAGCTCAACCCAATGCCCGGTAAGCCCTGATGGCAGAAGAAATTAAAGTACTGCAAAATCCCTCATGGAGTCACTGTGCCATAACAGTCTCATGGAGCAGATGGGAAGTGTTGCCCATGATTGCAGAGAGCTTGGTGCACATTTGTTTCTCTCCCACCTCTTCCAGGGCGTCAAGAATGATCCCCAGCACTGAAGTAGCCTTCCTTAGGGGCTTGTTCTGTCTCCTAACATCTCCTGCTTTTATGTGGCTGCCTCGGTGCACAACAAGAGAGAGAATGGCTGCCATCATCACTGATTGACAGAACATCTATAGCAGTATACCAGAAACACCAAAGAACCTGGCTCTGTCCCTTCTTGTACAGGGTCTCTGTTGCAGTCCACCCCTGTTCATCTTCCATGTGTACCCCTTGGTAGTTGGAAGTCCACACCATCTCATCACTTTAACTCTTGCTCAGACACAGCTCTGTAGCAGTACATTGTGTGGCCTGGTTTTTGTTCCCAGTCTATCCCAGTGTGTTACATAAAGAGGAAAAACTAATGTTAAGTTGTTAATGTTTTAGTAGACTGCTACACATTGATTGGCACACTTCAGATTGGACTGGTGCCAATGTGGCCCATTGCCAAAAGCTTTTGCACAGTACCTATTACCATCAGTTTCTGATATCGTTCATTTATTTATGATTTTATATATTTTTTTCAGCAGCAGCAGTGAGATTTTCTTTGTTCACCAAATCATTCGGTCCATAGTGCTGCAGCCATGTGACACCATTCGGTCCATAGTGCTGCAGCCATGTGACATCTGTGACATCTGCAGTGCTGGGAAGCAAAGTCGTTCAATTACCTGCTGCACCTGGGCTGCCCGGAGTGGGGTCTGACCCACGCCCCTCACACATCACCTCTCATTAAGCTCTGCGCAGTGCTATCCTGATTGCTGCCTGTCCTGATTGGCTCCCTCACAACAAGCAGCATGGCCCTGGTGGCTGGGCATGACTACCATTCACTGAATCGCATTAGTTGCCCTCCCCTGCCACTTCAACAACAACTCCTCAGTGCCTTACCACCTCTCTTTATATGCCAGAGGACAAGTCAGATTAATACGCCATAAGGGAAATCTGAACCCCTAAACAAGCTTTCTGAACCCCACTCCTCTAGATTTCTTTTATACTGCCAAAACTATAGGCCTACTATAACAACACTATAACCGTTCCCTTCATAATATTTCAAACTGAAACTATTTTGTTACCACCTCATTTATTATTTTAGTGCTAAAACTGTTGCAGCAGATAGCAAAACTGTCCAAAGATGTTGTATCATATGATGATAGTAATTTTAATTTAAGCAGTAACTTCCATAGTTTTTGTTCCCATTACTAAATTAATAACTGAAGGGCATTTAGCAACTGGATTTAAAAGGCCATGTCTTTTGTAACTGGTTACGGTTACAATACAGGTAGTTACCGCAGACTTTAAAGCCAGCAGGTGCTTATACAGTTCAGAAATGAGTGTGTAAGTGTTGTCACGTGTGGAGCTGCTATCAGCAGTTCAGCTGTGGCCGGACATGTGGCTCGTGCTCGTCGATGGGTGCCCTGAGCACAGGTTGCATTCAGACATGGAGAGGAAGCATTGTGATTTAGTATTGATAGGTAGTTAAGATGGATTTATACAAAGATATTCAGCAACATGTGCAGCAGTAACAGCAATGTTATTTAAGGAACCAGACAAAAATAGGCTACGACAAGCCAAACTAAAATAGAAGGCCTTTAGTCTAGATATAACCAATGGGGGTATCTCTGACATTGGCTGGCAGACTATTCCATGAGCCGGAACCTGCAAATTTGCAAATTTTCATAAACATGGGCCTTACCTTACATTGTCTTATAAAGTGAGGTGAGGTGAAAGATTTTGAAGCAAGTTATACAGACAAATCCAAACCTGAAGAGAAGAACAAATTAGTCTTACAATATTTCAGCTGCAAGAAATTTTTTATAAAGTTCATGTGCATTAAAAGACAAGTTAATGTCAAACATCATACCTATTTCAAGCCAACTGTGCAAAACAAAACCTTAAGCTTAAGCTTAAGCTTTAAAAGCTGCTACTAGGTTTTTAGTAAAAGACTATTTTACTTAGTCTTGTTAAAACTAAGTAAAATAACTTTTGGATGTCAGTAATTTAACTGATTTATTTTTTATTTCAAAGAAATTTTTATTTTATAGGTAGATATGCTTGTACAAATGAATATATGAACAAATGAATTTGTCACTTTTTATAAATGGTGACATATACAGTAGCAAGGTCCTGACACCAATTCCTGTCGAATTTGGTGCCCCCTCAGGAGTTGGTGCCATTCATTGTCTAGCTGTCAAAGTAGAAGGGCATGTGTACTTCTAGGGGTGCAAGCAAGCCAATTTCATCTTTCTCAGATGCTGCACACAAGTGAAGTTGGTGCCCTAGGCAGCCGCCTACATAACTTAATGGGTTGACTGGCTCTGTTTGCAGACGCTGGAAAGTGTATTGAATCTGAGGCTTGTGTTGGAAAAAAACTAAATATTCTTTGATAGGAGAAAACAAAGAATAAGCATTGACTCAAAAGGTTTGTAAGTTAAATGGAATTAATATAATGGACATGTACTGTATTGTGCAAAATTCTTAGGCAGCCAAAGAAAATTATGTTTAAATGATCTTTATGCTGGTGTTCAACTGTGCTATTATACCTGTCAAAATCTGTTAGCTTATTCATTCCAAATCACACCATTATTTCCAGCAACCATACACCCATGTATTTTTTGATGCAGCCCATAGCTAATCAATATCTCATTGACTTTTTTGACTGATTAAGTTAACTAATTAAGTGAGCTGGTGGTGAAATTTAATGAATACATGGAATTGCTGAGGTGCCCCTGAGGAGAGGTTTGCAACTGAAGCAGTGTTCATCTAGCCATCCAACAAGATATCAGTAACTTTTTGGAGAACAGAAGAAATTCTAACTAGTTTTTGTTACACTTAATTTGCATATGTTCCAATGCTACATTGTGTTTTTGGTTCTGAACAAATGTGCACTTTCTACCCTGGTAAATAGCTTTAAACAGTTCTTTTGACCTCCTAAGAATTTTGCACAGTACTATACATATATCATTATGATTGAAGACTGAGCAAGGACTGTAGAGCAAAGGCAGTATATGGAGGGAATGCAATAAGACACAGTTGAAATTTGTGAGGCCCTGAAGAGTGGGAACTCAAGCTGGAGCTGATAAGTCTTGATTGTTTGGAACATTTGGGAAATTGAGAGAAATCTAGGTGTTCTGACTGCAGGCCTCTGGTGGGGACAAATTGCCTGGAGCTCCAAAAGTCTCCCCCCCCCCCACTCCTACCCCCAGACGGGCTGAGGATGGTCCAAATGTTGTCAGTGAATCTCCCATATCAGTTTCTGGTCCACAGTGTAGAGGGAATGTAGAAGGAACTTAGGAACACTCCACAGGACCATACCAAAATAGTCGTGGGAGTAATGGAGAGACAAGTAATGGTTTTAGCTGTGAGATGTGGAACAAAGTACTCAACTGCGAGGACAAGTTGGTTGGACACGGGGTTGAATTGGTGGATTGTGTTGATTGGATTGATCTACCATAGAGTGGGATTCTATGATTCATTATGGGATGGTACGTCTCTGGTTAAGATCCAGACCCTCTGCCTCAATCTGTACTGGAAACCCACCCTACACTGCTGGTTGGTCTGTTGTTGTTGGTGTGCAGAAAAATAGAAAAGAGCTGCAAAAGCTATCCACCAAACCCTTCGGCACCAAGAGATGAAAGCCTTAGCAGATGGCATGGCCACTGAAGTCTGCTGACTGGGGAGTAGAGGGGCTGAAAGCCAAACTGGCATTCAAAAGCAACATCCCTTGAGGTAGACATCAACTGATTGTAAGCAGTCACTGCTCAGAATAGTACCAAGCTGCAGAATAAAATGTTTTCTGAGGAAAAGAACCAGATGTACCGTTCAGCCTCTTTCTTTTAGTCCATTTGATTTGAGGATGCCATCTAAAGAATAGGCTCAGTGTTTATCTTCAGAGATTCCAGAATATTTTCCAAAACTGAGGAACAAACTGGGGACCTCTGTCTGAGACAATGTCTGCCAAAACACCATTAATTAGAATGATCTGCAGCATTATGATACTCATGGTCTCTTCTGCAGATGGAAGTTTTGGCAAAGGAATAAAATGTGGACCCTTTGAGAACTGATCTACAATTACCACCTCGATTGTGTGACCTTGAAATGAGGGTAAACCATTGATAAAATCCATTAGGAAGGGGCAAAGGATAGAGAAACAAAGTACCTTGCTGGTGGACATGTTGCAGACACAAAGTGTACATGCTTGCATAAATTCTCATATCTACTTATTCATCTCTAGCAATCTGAACCAACAAAGAAATAACTTCACTGTTATTTCAAACCCAGAATATCCAACCATTCACCAAACATGCTCCTACTCAAATATTCAAAAGTACATAGCTTAGAGCATTAATAGTCAACCATCTTAGGTCTCACCTATAGGCTGGGATCTGTCTGCTGAGATTGACAAACTGAATCCTCAAGAGATCAAAGGTAACTGCAGAACATGAGCTAGGGACAGTGGATTGAGGTTCCTGACCACTCTCTGAAATATACTGCTGCCGGGATTGGAATTCTTTAAACCAGGATGGTAACAGAGAATGAAATTCGACTGAGTAAGGCTGATGCATGGCCACGTGGGGTAGCACTCTGTGCACCAGATTTGAAGGTCCCCAATTCAAATCCTGCAGCTAGCTGAGTAATATCTCTGTTGAACCTTTGGGCAAAGTCCTTAACCCCAAATACATTGAACAAGCTTGAACCCCACACTCATTCCTGAAGCATTCACCTCTGTGAAGAAATGGAGGCTTTGCGTTAGGGTGGATGAGAATTTCTTCTGCTCTTGGAAGGCTGCTTGTGTCTCTTAAGTTAGAGGCTGTGTTTGGATGAGCCTTGAGTTGGAGCTGTCTTGGAGCTGCCACCAAACTGAAGTTCCTCATGAACCTGCGGTAAAAGTTGGTGAACTGGAATAACTGTTGGCCTTCTTTCAAGTTGGGTGATTTGAAACCATTGCCATTAGCTTGGACCTTAATTGGTACCATTGCAAGAGGGAAAATTGTGATAATCCAAGAATGAAACACTTACTGTAAGTCGTGGGACTCACAGTTCTCCAGTTTGATAAATTAGCTGGTCTGATATAGCTTGGAAAGTACTTGGCAGAGCTGTTGGAAGTGTTCCTCTGAAGTGACAGAAAATTAAGAAGTCATGTATATTTACAAAGTCAAACTGGTTCAACATGTTTCTGAGCATATAATTCACAAGACGCTGAAACACCGTAGGGGCACTGATAACACTAGAGGGTACTTGTAGCAGCCATTGAGGGTGTTAAAAGCCATTTTATACTTTTCACCCTTCCTAATGTTCTACAGGCTCTATGTATTTTAGAAGTTGAGCTTGTAAACATGTTTGCTTTCTGCAGAAACTTAACAGCAGTACACATTTTGTAAGAAAGCCCCAGTTGCATGGGCTCCTGAGCAGGTGGTGGGAATGTGGGCATGTTTTATGAACCTGTCCCCCCAGAAAGGAGGATGTACAGGTAGAATCTTTGACTCTCTCCTCTTCTGGTGGCTGTGGTTTTCAATGCAAATAGCACAACAGGTTAGCCCCTCCAGTCTACTGCCACAAACTCGGTTCAGTAACTCACCTTTAGCTTCCTCTGAAAATCAGCATGTCATATGCTTCTGTGTCCAGTCAACTCTCTGCTGCCAGTGTTCTAAATTCAATGGCAGTCAGCTACTGAGTAAACCTATGATGGGATTAATTGTCCATTCCAGGTAGTGAGTTTCGGCATACAAAAGAGGGGGAGGTAACATTTTTTTTAGACAGAAAGCAGCCCAGGTGTTCAGCACACAGCATGCATAATCATGAATCTCCTCCCCCCCCACCCTCCCCCCAAAATAAAAGAATAGCCACAACATCATTGCATCTCCAAGGCATTGTAAATGCATCTGTAACCATAATTGCCTCATTTATTCTCCAATTACATCTAACAGTTAAATTAATTAAATAATCTATTCATTTTTGTGACATAGTGACATCGTGCAATACTCAAGGCTGATAACATTCCTGTTTAGCTTGCAAAGATGTTAGAATCATACCTTTTCCAACCAAAATGATTCATATTTTAAAAAAGCCCATATTGTCACACTACACGGCGTACGGAGCATTGACAGAGGCGCAGGAAGCCAGTAGTCCGGGTGAACACGGGGTTTAATAGGAACAGCAACGATAGGGACAGACAAACCACGGGGTAACATTACAATGACCGGACTGGAGAAAGAAACGGAAACGCGGATTAAATACAATGGACTAATTGCCAACGATCGGGAAACGGCTGATAAACACGGGGAATCCACATGGGGTTAATAAGGGGGCGTGGCACACGAGAGGAGCGGACGATCGGGGTGTGACAGGACCCCCCCCCAAAGGCGCGCACTCCGGGCGCGCCTAAGGGGAGCAGAGCGACGGGGACCGAAGACACGATGGTACCTGGGGAGACAAAAAGAACACCGTCAACGCAGAGCTTACAAAAAATCTTTCACTTACATTAACTACATGCAATCTCAGCATGACTACATTAAAGCATGCATGTTAAGAAGAAAAGGTTTGTAGTCTATATTTTACAAATAACATCTAAACCAGTTGTTTATTTCTGTTTGATGTCAAAGCAAAAACTTGCTTTAACCCAGTGATTACAAAATGAACATATCAAAACTGACATTTTACATTTAATATATAAACAATATATTATGTTTATGATTCTTCTCACTCAAGTAAAATGCTAAAAGGGTTAAATAGTGATTCTTTAGTTTTCCCATAATTCCAAGTTTCTTTATATAGATTGTATTTTCTCTTTATTATTAATAAACTTGGTTCAGACACAGTCTGACAAAAACATTGGAATAACTGTTTTGATGTGAATGAGAATTTTTCAGAAATAATCTTATTTTCACGGAAAGTGTACCGTAAAAATGAGGACATCACAGTAATTATGGGATTTAGTATTCATTTGCTCTTATTTGTTAATGGGAAATTAGCTAGTGCCCGCAAAGATGATAATAATAGCAAGGACATTTATATAAAAAAAATATGAAGAATGTTCACAAATTTTTTTTATTTCTGGAATTTGTATACCTTTCATATATTACTTTTTAAAAAGAAACTCAGTTTACAAAGCAGTTTGCAATAACTACAGTGGCAAGAAAGCAAGATATATGCATTTTGTGTTATACAATCAAGTTGATGTGTTAAAAAGTATTGCCACATATTCATATTACAGGTCATTGAATTTTCATCGGAGCAATGTTGTATAATGAAGCTGAGCCAAAAAGGCAGAAATTAAAATAATAGCTGACTTATTCCATTTTTTAAGGAAGATTAAAAGATTCTGTCAATCAAACCTATTGTTCAGCATGCAGCGAAAATCAATTATATTTAATACCTTTATACCCTTAATACAGTTTTAAAACCCATATTCAGCTTTTGTTTTTATTTGTTATTATTGCATATTCGAGCTTAAATAAATGTACAATATACAGCAACAACTTTGAAAATCTGTAAATAATTAACTATAGTAATCAACTGTGTTGCATACTCAGGATTTTGTGGTTGAATCGGTGGCCCTTCAGTGACTGTACCACCTATGGCAAAAACCAAGAGAGTAGGTTTGGCTTCAACACCGGTAGGGGCCAAATCAGCCCTAACTCCCCCACCCCATAAACACACATGGTACTCCCACAATATTCCATGGGAATCACTAAAGCTGGGTGTAGGTTAAAAAGATGCAGACATCCATAGCATTAAAGTTTTTCACCAGCATGAAGATCATTTAAACATACTGTTCTTTGACTTCTCCCCAGTACTATATAAATAATGTATGCAAATCATTATGCATGAGTGGAATTTCGGATTTCATCGTATTATATCAAAAGAATCACCATCTTCGATGATACCTGGAGTGAACCAAAAGTCATCCCAGTATTTGTTGACTCAAGCGCTAACACACCATGTTTATCTAATCAATATCTCATCAAGTTAACTAATAAAGTTCATTAATGAACTGAGCTGGTAGTGAAATTTGACAAATTCAGGGAATGGCTAGGGGCCCAGAGGAAAGGATTGGGAATGAGAGTAGTGTTCTTCCAGCCAACCAACAAGAAATCTAACTTTTTGGGGAGGAGAAGAAATTCTTGTCATACATTGTTATACGATTTGCTACATTGTAATCAGATAATCAAGCAAGGTCTGTGTGATCTCAGTTCTCAGCGCTCAATCTTATTCAAATTGAGCAAAGAGAGTTCCTTGGTGTTTGTGGTCTTGACTGGTCGGAATTCCGTAACTAGTGTACTGGGCAACTGGGATCTTGGTTTGGGTTTGTCGTGGTTGTCTTGTTTTTGTGTTTCAGCCCTAGTCTGGCTTCCGTGTTGTGGTTTCTGGTTTTTTGGTGTTTTGCACTTGAGTTTGTTTTGTGCACCTTATGCTGGAGCTGCTTATCCTGTCAACAATGTCATTGGTTACCTGTTTCCTACATTCCTGTAGCATGTTGTTTGAGGTTCTCAGGGATCGCCGGTGAGACACCTGGCATTATGTATGGGCAGCCCTGTTTGGGATGTCCTGTCTTGGAATCTGTGAAAGCCAAAAAAAATTCAATGAGTTCACAAAATAACAGAAATGTGTATTATACAATTAGACAGAATAACCATATTTTTAGAAGATATCTCTCCTTGTTATCAAGTATAGAATAATATGGTAAGATAAGATGATAAGATAAGATAAGATAAGATAATAATGATTGTGTGGGGTTTATAATAATTATTAATGAGAATGCATATAGCTAAGGTACTAGGTACTTACCTATAAAAATAACTAATGGTACAAACCATGCTATAAGGCTCTTCCAACAGTGGTATTAATGTCCTGTGTAATATGTCTGGAAAGCCCAACTTAATGCCTACAGTATGGCTCTGTCTAGCTATTAGATTAAAAGACTGATATACACAACTGACACAATACTACTAATGTAAATGACCATCTAAATGAGAACCCTCCATCCATCCATCCATCCATTTTCTAGCTTCTCATCCTGCTCAGAGTCACACAGGAGCTAAATGGTTAAGGAGTGATTATTTATGAGTTTCACTATCATATTCTTTTTTGTTGTAATATTTTATTACAGTAAGGAAGTAATTTAACTCATGAGTAAATTATAATTAAATATTTTTCCAGGCTTCCATGCAAACTGTGATTTTAAGGTATTTTTTGTCTATGAGTCATATTCCATGAATAGCGCTACTGCTTTAATCACAGTAGCCCATTTACTTATGTACTTCTGAAATATAACCACAATTTATTAAGGTGCATAGAAATACAGGTATGAATATGTGTTCCCCTCTGCTGATATGTAAAATTATGTTATTGACAATGTATATTGTTTTTCTTTGAAATGGCAGAAGCTGTTCATTGATTAAAGTGAAATGTCAAACATCTGTTAAATTAATTTACAGCCAATAACATAGAACCCTTCCATCTTATAGCACAATAAAACCTGAAAAACTCTCCAGGGAGCAGAGTTCAATACTTATGCTTGAACAATGTAGTGTCAAACTGGAAAAAAAAGTGTTCTACAGTGAGGAATTTACTATTTGTTTAGCACCCTCATATAAAAATAGCTTACAAAACTTACAAAACATGTTTACTTGGTGTGACCTATTCATATAATTGCTATTTTCCTCAAGCCAGTGAGACAGAGGAGCACATGCTCTAGGGCACTACAGCAGTATTTCATGTCAGATTCAAACCAATAACACTTTCACCAAGATGCCACTTTGGTGCTCAAGGAGTGTCAGGATTCTTGAAGCTGGGAGAATCAGTTTAGATGATGAAACCCCACAGAACAACTGTCCAGAACACCCAAGGTCATTATACCTAAAGGCCTGTAACATTCAATTTACTGACCCAATAAACCATTAACATGTGGTTCCTGCACTGCTAGTAAGACCCAAGGAGGCTAAGTCATTGCTGTGTCTGTTGCTAATGTTGTTAATATTTATGGATGTAATAAATAACCGTAATAAATAGGCACATAAAAATAACTAATGAAAATGGAAGGGAAGTGGAACACTGAGATGCATGGCTACATGTTGTAC